GCATTAAAAAACAAGGAACTCATGCAATATTATTCAAAATGGTTGACTCTGGAGAACATTATGCTGAGTGAAATATCCCAGTCACAAAAGGACAAATATTACATGATGCCACTGTTGTAGAATGGGACTGTCCTTGGGGTTGGGGAGAGACTGAGTAAGATGGGTTCAATAATGTATACTGCACTGAAACAGAGGAGGGAGAGAACCGTCTAAAAGAGAGATGTAACTGGGTATCTCTGTCATCACAGGAGACTAGAGCGAGGGCTGCATGGTGGAGGGGACCTGGGGGAGTGTTTGTAAAACAATGAAAGAATCTTTTCTTTTACTTTTCCATAATTTTTGGACTCATGTACCTATAACTTGTTAGTCAAATTCGTGTCTTCTAGGTTGCAACACCCCCATGATACATCTTGAAGGATATGTACATGTACAGCCAAGCACAATCAATAAGAGTGCATCTGAATTCCAAAATCAATCTCCATAATAGTCTATGTGTTTCCTACTGCCAAAGGGGCCCTTTAGAGTAGTGAGAGAAGATCTTCACCCTGAAGCCCACAGCGTCCCTTTTCAGCAGGAAGTAGCTAAGAGAATACGCCGTCCCCTTTTCCTTATGACTCAGGGTGAAGTCTCTCTCAGGGAGGAGTGATAGGGAATGGCAAAGGATACACTGACAAAGAAGATTAATCAGAACTGGCTTTGACAAGCACTGTGGCATTTGGACAAGAACAAACTGGGAGGAGGGTGGAGAGAGTGGTGCAGCAATGAATGAGTGGAAGCCCAGAATCTCTGTAAATGTTTATGAAAATTAATAAAATATAATTATAGGGAAAAAAAAAAGAAAGCCCTAAAGAGTCAGCAAGAAAACAACTGGGCATAATTGGTCAGTTCAACAAAATGGCAGGATACAAGATCAATATAAAAAAATTAATTGGATTTCTTTATGGTGACAAAGAGAATACAGAACTGGAGCTCATTTAAAAAAATACCCATCACAATAGCTAATCACAAGATTAAATACTTGGGAGTAAGTCTAACTAGAAATACAAAGGATTTATTCAAAGAAATTTACAAAACATTACAAGAAACAAAAAGAAACCTGGAGAAATGGGAGATTATATCTTGCTCATGGATAGGAAGACTAAGCATTGTGAAAATGACAATACTATCAAAGACAATCTATACATTCAAGGCAATCCCAATACAATTACCAATTCCATTCTTCAATGAGATGGAAAAGGTAATCTCCAATTTAATTTGGAATGGAAAGAGATCTTGAATAAGCAAAGCACTCCTTAAAAAGAGAAACAAGGTAGGAGGCATCTCACACCTTGATTTCAAATACTACTACACAGGTGGTGGTCAAGACAGCATGGTACTGGTACAATGACAGACACATTGATCAATGGAATAGAATTGAGAAGCCAGAAATCAGCCCATCTACCTATGGTCAACTGATTTTTGATGAGGAGATGAAATCAATTAAGTGGGAAAATGACAGCCTTTTTGACAAATGATGTTGGCAAATTGAAAAACTATCTGTAGAAAACTCAAGCAAGATCCACACCTCACTCCATACACAACTCAGGGTGGATCAAGGACTTAGGACTAAAACCAAGGACTATAAACTTCACCAGAGAAAAACTTGGAAGAATTCTAGAAGCCCTAATCCACAACATAAACAGTCTTCTGAGCATCCTAAAAAACCTACAACCAGGAGATGGTAAAATAGATGAATGGGACCTTCTAAGATTAAAATCCCTATGCACATCCAAAAACTTTTCCAATAGGGTAAAAAGGGAAGTCACAGACTGGGAAAGAACATTTGGCCATTACATGTCTGATAAGGGACTTATTTTGTGACTTATAAGGACTTATAAAATACTTGAGCACAACAACAAGATAAAGGTGAACAACCCAATTGAAAAATGGGCACAGGATATGTACAGACACTTGACCAAAGAAGACATTCAGATGGCCAACAAACACATGAAGAAATGTTCAAAATCCCTAGCTCTAAGAGCGATGTAAATCAAAACAACTATGAGATATCCTCTTATCCCAGTAAGAATAACAAAATTTAACAGAACAGCAAACAACAAATGCTGGCGAAGTTGTGCAGAAATGGGAACACTTATTGACTGTTGGTGGGAGTGAAAAATGGTACAAACACTATGGAAGGCAGAATCGCAGTTTTTCAAAAAGTTGGAAAGAGAAATACCATTTGACCCAGCAATTCCACTACTGGAAATACACCTTAAAGAAACCATAACTGCCATTCAAGCAGATATATGCATACCCATATTTATTGCAGTTTTATTCACAATAGCAAAGAGTTGGAAACAATTCAAGTGCCCATAGAGAAACTCTGGTATATTCACAAAATGGAATACTATGTGGCATTAAAAAACACGGAACTCATGAAATATTACACAAAATGGGTGACCCTGGAGGACATTGTGCTGAGTGAAATATCTCAGTCACAAAAGGACAAATATGGCATAGTGCCAGTGTTGTAAAGCAGGAACAACATCAGGGTTGGGGGGAAACTAAGAGAAGATAAATAATGTATTTAAATACTGCATTTAAATTGATGAGGGAGAGAACTGTTTAGGAGTAATATATGATTAGGCATTATTGTAATGGCAAGAGTCCAGAATGAAAGCCGGATAGAGGAGTGGTCTGCGGGATGGGGGAGACTGTATAACAATGAAAGAATTTATTTTTTTTTTACTTTTTAAAAAGAAAAGTGTTCGGGGGGGTGGAGGGTTTGGCAGGGAGGAAAGTGTGCAACAATGAATGAATGGAAATCCAAAGTCTCTGTAAACTTTCATTAACATTTTTAAAAAATGGAAAAAAATTAAAAAAAAACCAACCCATCACATTCCAAGAGGTTTCTTAAAGAATGAAAATAATCTGTTATTATAAAAATATGTCCAGTTTCCATCTCTCCAACTACCAGGAGGAAATCTTGCATAAACAAAAATGCTTGTGGAATCAGTTCAAAAGTAGATTAGATTTGGAAGCTAGCCTATTACTTTAAATCAATACTAGATACATTTTTAGTTTGGGATTTTTTTTAAAAAAATAAAATAAACCTATGTTATTAGGAAGCATAAAAAAACAACCAAAAAAACAAAACAAAGCTTTTGACCACTGGGCTGATTGTCAGCATCCTGACAGATGGTAAAGAGACTGAAATTGTTAACAGCTTTAGCTTGCTTGGCTCCACAACCAACACTCTTGGTACCAGCAGCCAGAAATCAAAAGATGAATTGCACTGGGAAAAAATCTATTGTCAGGGACCTCTCCAGAGTATTGAAGAGAAATTATGTCAGTCTAGAGACTAAAGAAGTGTGCCTGATCCAGGCCATAGTCTTTGCAATTACATACTATGCATCAGAGATCTGGACAGCGACCAAGGATGAAGAAGAAGTTTGCTTTTGAATTGTGGTGCTGGAGAAGAGTATTGAAATACCATGGACTGCTATGAGAGAAAAAACCAGGTTTGTCCTGTAGAGGGTTAAACCAACCTGCTTCTTGGAGGCAAGGATTTTGAAGCTCTGTCTGATAACTTCGGGCATGTTGCAAGGAGTGACCAGTCCTTGGATGGGGATATCATACTTGGAAGGATGGAGAGACAGCTCAAGAGAGGAAGAGACTGGATGAGATGGATTGGCTCAGTGACTGGGGTAATGGGGGTAGGTGTGACAGAGACAATGAAATTGGCTCAGGGTAGAGCAGGGTTCAGAGCTGTTTTACATAGGGTCATTATAAGTTGGATTTGACTTGACAGCACATAACAATGGTAACTGCTAATATTTTCCCATCAATCTAGTAATTCCTTTTTTAAATTGACACTTTAATGAAAGTTTATAGAGAATTTGGATTCCCATTCATTCATTGTTGCACATTTTCCTCCCTGTCCTCTCCTCCCCTCAGCTTTTCTCTTTGGAAAAAATTTTTTTTCATTTTATACAATTCCCCCCACCCAGTTCACTTTACCATGTTAGCTCTTATTCTAGACTCTTGTCATGCCAATAATATCTAATCATATATTCCTTTTATACAGTTCTCTCTTGTCTGTTTCAATCTAATAACTCTTAAATTTGCTACTTCTTGGAAGTTGTTTGTGTAGGAGTATAAACTAGTAAGCTGCTTCCCCCTATCTTCAGTGATATCCTTCCAGCTGGCCACCCTAAAGCTGTGTAGCTGTACCTGAACCTGGTCAGTAAATTTCCTGTCCCAATAAACTAATATATTTTGTTTGTCTCTGGGTCAGTTTTTGGGTCTATCTGCCAGACAAACCTTGAGGGACTTTCTGTTTGGGGAAGAAGCATAAAAGTATAATTAAATAAATCATAATATACTATGCTAATATTAGAAAAGGAAGTTATTACTTTTATGTACCAATGAGTTGGAAACGAACTCATTGCTGACCCTCTGGTGACCTTTCAGAGGCAATAAATCATATGGGAGGAGACAGTCCTTCTTTCTCCCATGGAGCAACTGTTAGATTTGAACCACATGTTTCACAACTCCTTACCGCTAAGATTTATACATATTGACATTAAATATGCCCATTATATTTAATTTTAAGAAACAGTTAAGGTCTTATATTGCATGATTCCAACTTCAGTAGGTAAAGATTTCAGATACAAAGTGTGCCTATGCAAACTAAATTTTATACAAATAATGTACATATTACACTTCCATCCCCAACACTACAATGAATTTTTGTGGTGTAATATGATGATGGTTTTTTTTACAGAAATAGGCTAAATACTTTTCTTTCATAGCTTGCTTATGAAAACCCTATACCAAGGAAGGTTGTGGTTGAAAAATTATAAAGCACATATTATTTCTGGAAATATCATAGGTGTGATTGATGAAAAAAGATAGGAAAACCTACAAAGAGAAACATAAATTCCTTTTTAGATATGCTGAGATTAAAGATAGAGCTTATGCCTGGAGAGGTAGGGTAGCCATATCTTATACCTTACCTGGGTCTCACTGAAGGTTTCCTGGCTCCTCCCTTCTTACAGGACCATTTCCTTTTTGCAAATTCAAAAGTTTTTGGTGCCTTGATAATTTCCACCATAAAATCTGATGAATAGTTGGGGTACATCATGTCATGAGAAACATTACAGAGAGTAAGAAGGGACAAAATAGCATGATTTACCATTCATTAGGTGCAAGTAGAAAAATTATAGTCCCCAAAACTGCTGCCGTACCGTATCAGATGATGATTATTGTAAATAAGGATTTAGGGATGATTTGCATTTCTGTGACTGATATCAGTTCAGGCTATCTCACTAAGGTTTCTTGGCACTAGGTCATCAAGAAACTCTTTAAGACCAAGGCATTATACTACTCAACAGTACACTAATCAATACCAAGTGGCAGCTGTCTCTTCCACTAGGCATTTATACTGGATCCTTGTCTGCATGATATTCTATACCCAGTCACACCACCACTGCTTTCCTAAATATTCCACTTGCCCTTTGGAACCCTTGTTTTACAAGCAGCTAAAACCAAGACCAAATCCATTGCCATTGAGGAAATTCTAATCCAAATTGACTCCTTGAGATTTAGATAGAACTGTTCTATGGGATTTTCTTGACTTTAATACTCATGGAAGCTGTTCATCTGGGCTTTTTTCCTGGCACTGCTGTGTGGATTTGAACTGCTAGCCTTTAGCTAGTCCCCTTGATCCTTTTTTACTCCTTTTAAAAAAATGTATTTGATTGAGTGAAAGTATACAAATTAAATTGGGTTTTTATTCAATCATTCATAGACATTTTGTTTTATAACGTAATCAATTACAATATCTAATCAAACCTTTATCATGTATTGTCTTTTTCCTTCACCAAAATAATTTTTGCTTGCCTTTGCCTTCCTTCTTATCCCTGTAAAGCCTTAAAGATTGATTATATCTGCATGCAAAACCTTCTTTAGCATTTTATTTTAGTAGTCTTATACCATAATTGTCCTTTGTGACTGACTTATGACATTCTTCTTGCAATCAGTCAACTCTCCCATACTCAAGTCATTTCTCCACCTTTTTGCTTGGAAAACTATACTTCCACCACAAGCTCCTCAAATGGTGAGTGTTTATTCCATCACACCATGCATCATTCATAGAGTATTCTTGTTTCCTACTGCCATTTAGAAATCATTACTAAAATTATTACAGCATTACTGCTGAGAAATAACAGATTACAAAGATCTCAGTATGAGAAAATATTAATGTTGTAGAAGAAAACATAATTATAAATTCATTAAAGGCAGGGGTGGTGTCTTTTTCATTTTTATAAAACCCCCAAGATTTAAAACATGGTCTTGCTATCAGCAATTACTCTAAAAAAATGTTCATTAAGAAGAAAGTATCACAGGAAACTTTTGTGTCATTTAAAATATTTATAGACAAATGGCATACAAAAGGGGTATATTATAATAGAAATAGGTATTGTATATAGAAAAATATACAATTGAATAGGGATAAAAAGCAAAGTTGTACTATAAAAGATTGTTGTTGTGTGCTGTCAAGTCAATGTTGGCTCATAGATAGAGACCCCATAGGACAGAGTAGAAACCCTCCCATGGGTATTCTTAGGTTGAAATATTTATGAGAGAAGATCATCAGGTCTCTTCTGCAGAGCTGCTGGTAGGTTTGAACCATCAACTTTCTCATTAGCAACCAAACAATGGTGCCAGCCAAGTAGTTAGATGTTATTGAGTTGAGCACAACTCACAAAAACCCTATGAACAAAAGATATGAATCCTGTCCCATCCTGTGCCATTCTCATCATCTCTGACATGCTGAGTCCATTGTTGCAGTTAGTGTCAATCTGTCTGGTTAAGGGTCTTCCTCTCTTTTTCTGACCCTCCACCTTTAAAAGCATGATGCCCCTCTCCAAGGAAAATCCTCACCTAGCAAATACGCCAATGTTTGTGAGACGAATCTTTGCCAACACTTGGTGATTGCATGCATTATCAGGACCCTGGAAAACTGAGTATTCTAAAAATAAAACAAAATAAGCTCTCCATATAAAATATGTAGAAATGCTGGGTAAAAAGAACACATTTAAACACTCTTTAGTTTATAACAAATTAAGACAAAATTGATAAAGAAAAAACAAACCACATACACAGAAGCAGATAATCAAAGGGGGGAAACAAAAAAGGGGGTGCAAAAAAGCTAAGAAAGATAAACTGATACCAATACTTTATCTGACATTTGCAATATTCAAGCCACTTGGAGACAGAAAACAAAGTCAGATGCCTTTAGAAAACGACCAAAGACTATGGCACTGCTTTTACATTCAAGATATGTTATAAGGTGAAAACAGGTACTGGGAAAATTACTAGAGACTTAGACAGAATTTTGACAGGAGAGGACAAAAACTGAAGTTCAGAGATCACCAGAAACATCCCAAGCTTTCAGATGAAACTCTCAAAAGAGTAAGAAATGATAATCAACTTTGAATCCCATGAATACAAGAGCTATTAAGCATATGAGAAATAATCAACGTATTATAATGGTAGAATAAAGAGAGGGAAAATGCAAGATCGTCTTAGTCATAAAGAAATACCGTTTGACAAAATGCAACACTCTTTCATGATATAAGCAATAGTACTTAGGAATAAAAAAGAGGGCATAGAAATAGAAAGAAACTTCTTCAACATGAGGACAGCCACTTGTGAGAAAACCACCATTAACATTTTAATGGATAATAAATTATTTAAATTTTTCTTCCCAAGATCAGGAACAGAATGAGTATATTTGCTTTTTTCACTTTCACATACTTTTTTTTTTTACCTGAAGTCCCAGCCAGAATGATTAAGTGAAGCAATGAAAGGAAAGAAATAAAATTAGAAAGAAGAGGGGAAACTATTTCTATTCTAAGATGACATTAACTTTGATATTTAAAAATATTGTAAAGATTCCACTATAAAACAAACGTAGAAGAACTTATAGGTAAATTCAGCCAAGTTGCAGGATAAAAGATCACAAACAAGATCATTTGCCTTCTATACAATTGTTGTTGTCATTAGGGGGCATGAAGTAGACTACGACTCCTAGGGACCCTATGAGAAATACATCAGAACCTTGCTCTATCCTGTACCATCCTCACAGTCTCTGTCATCCTCAAGCCTGTTGTTACAGTCATTGTGTCAATCCACTCATTGTGGGTCTTCCAATCTTTTGCTTCTTCTACATTTCCTAGTATGATGTCTTTTTCTAAGGACTAGCCCCTGCTGATAACATACTCAACGTATGTAAGACAAAGTTTAATCATTTTGCCTCTAAATAATTACCCTGATTACTCTTCTTCCAAGACAGACTTATCTGTTCTTTTGAAAGTCCATGGTATATATAATTTTTCTATGCACTAACAATGAACAATCTGAAAATAATATTAAGAAAACAATGTCAGGGGAGCTCTGGTGGCCTAGTGGCAAGAAGCTGCACTGCAATCCCAGAGGAACACGGTTCAAATCCACCAGATGCTCTGCCGGAGAAGGAGGCGCAATATCCTCCTGTACCAGTCAGATCTGATTTGACGGTACACGCACACAAAAGAATAATAATAATAAAAAAAAAGAAAACAATGTCATTTAAAATAACATAAAAAATGGAGTTGTTTGGAAGTTAACTAAAAAATTTTATGCACTGAAATTATAAAGAGATTAAATAAGACCTAAGTAAATGGGAAGATATTCTCTGTTCATGAATTGGAAGACTTAATGCTTTTAAGATGTCAATACAACTCAAATTCATCTCAGATTCAAAGAAATCTCTATCAAAAATAAAAATATTATAATAAATTAAAGATATTAGATATTCCCAAAGTAATCTATAGTACTAGTGCAATAATAATGATGAAAATTTAGAGACTGATTCTAATATTTATACAGAAATACAAAGAGCTAAGAAAAACCATGTGAATCTTTAAAAGAAAAAAGCAAAATACTTAAACAAATTCTCAACATTTATTGTAATCATACCATACTTAAGATAGTATAAGTAGCTGTTTAAGAACAGACAAAGAGGCCAACACAGCCAAAGAGTAAAGAAGAAAGGCCACATAGAGATTGAAATCTGATTTACACCAGAACTGGCACTGTGAAGTAGTGGGGAAAGTACAGTCTTTTTGGCAAATGGTGCAGATCAACTGGACAGTCATATTTAAAAAACAAAACAAAACAAACAAAAAAAACCCTGAAATATAATACTCCTATCTCACATTGTACATAAAATCAATTTAAGTTGGATCACAGATCTAAATATTAGAAGTAAAGGAGAAACATTTCCAGAAAACAAATACATACATGAGAACATCTTTATAATTTTGGAGGAAAGCAATAAACCAAACCCCATTGCCTTTGAATGAATTCTGACTCAAAGCAACATTCCACAGGATTTCCAAAGAGGAAAATCTTTGCTGGACCACACTGCTTCATCTTTCTTTCAAGAAATCACTGGTGAATTCAAACTGTTGATCTTTCATTTGTTAGTAGCTATTAAAGCTACCATGAAGGAGAGAAAGACAGAGAGAGAGAGAGAGAGAGAGAGAGAGAGAGAGAGCCTAGATTATAAACTATAAAACCTCATCAACACTAAGTGGGAACTGACTCATAAATGAGTCTCCAATGTGTTTTTAGAGGCTGTAAATCCCACAACAGGAAATTTTTCATCTTTCTCCCATGGATCCTCTAGTGGGTTCTAACTGCCAGAGATATATCTCCTTCAGATTAATGATGCAACTCCCTAAGCTGTAGGCCACCAGAGCTCCCTATATAGCTGATAAATGAGTAACAAGTCAACAAAGGACAGAAAATGAAATATAAAAATGCACATTTTATAAGAGACTTGGATTGAATTGAGTATACATATACAACACACACACAAATACAAACACACACTGCATATGCAAAACAGGGAGCGAAGACTCTGTGAGGAGGAAGGTGGCATCAAGATTGGAAGAAGACTTACCAACAACCCGTTATGCAGATAAAACAACCTTGCTTGCCATAACTGAGGAAGGCATGAAGTGTTTGCTGCATAAAGTCAAGGCCTATAGACTTCACTATGGACTGAAGTTCAACATCAAGAAAACAAAGATTCTTACCATGGAGCCAATTGGCAGTATCATGATAGATGGAGAAGATATTGAGATTGTTAACAATTTCAGCTTCCATTATTCCAAAATCAACGCTGTTGGCACCAGAAGTCAGGAATTCAAAAGAGAAAATACATTGGGCATATCTGTTGTCAGAGACCTCTCCAAAGTACTGAGAAGCAACGATATCAGTCTAGAGATTAAAATGCATCTGATCAACAATGGTCTTTGTAGTTACTTGCTATGCATCAGAGAGTTAGAAATGGCTGAGGATGATAGAAGAAGGTGTCTTTAAGTTGTGATGCTGGAGAAAAGTACTGAACATACTATGGACTTCCAAGAGAACAAACAAGTTTGTCCTGGAGAACATGAAATCAGTTTGCTCCCTGGAGGCAAGAATTTTGAAGCTCCATCTCACAAACTTTGGGCATGTTGCCAGGAGGGATCTGCCCTTGGAAAAGGACATCATGTTTGGAAGTGTGGAGGGGACAGTGCAAGAGAGGAAGACCCTGGATGAGATGGATTGACTCAGTAACTAGGGTAATAGGAGTAGGTGTGTTGGAAACAGAGAAATTGTCTTAGGATAGGGCAGGGTTCCAAGCTATTACACATAGGGCCGCTATGAGTTGTAGGTGACTTAACAGACTATAACAACAACACACCTAGGTGAATAGGGAACAAAAAGGCAGTCAACATTGTCGGTAATAAGAGTAATGCATATTAAAACAACACATCTAGAGATAAATATCAATGAGCAGACATTCAAGATTTCCCTTCTCAACGTTAACCATGTTAACTTCTATGTCAAAGATCTTGTAGCAAACACTCCATTGTGAAGCTTGGATTCCCTGACCTTAATCAACTCAATGAGGCTGCACCTCAAGGATCATCCTGTTAGCTGGTTTCAACTACCTTGCAGTTCAGCATCTCCCTCTGACCAAACCTGCCTCTTCTCCTCTGCAGGGCTTTAGTCCTAAGACTCTCTAATAAACCTTTTCCAACAAATCTGTAACTCCAGGAAACCTGGCAAAAGATAAAGTCATATTATTCAAACCCTACAATGATAGTTAGATAAGAAAGCACAAAATCAGCTAGTCAGTTGCCATCAAATCAACTGTTACTGATGGTAATCTCATGGTAATCCCTGAATAGAATTTGTTCCATAGGGTTTTCAGTCTGACATTTTTTGGAAGCATATTTCTAGGATTTGCCACCAAATTTGTTAACAGTCAAACTAGTTAACTATTTGCACCACGCAGGTGCAAGAGATAAAAAGGTAGGAGTTAGCATTCACCACCATAATCATCATCATCAACTTTATTTGTGTCATAATTTCATGACACTCTTTTCTGGCTTTGTAGAAGAAAAAATATTACTCCTGATCATTGTTCTCCCTGGCTAGGGACCTCCGGTGTCATCATCTGTAGGGAGTTGCATTGCCAAGCAAAAGACTATGGGTCTGGTGGTTCAAACCCACCAGCTGCTCTGAGGAAGAAAGATATTGTCTTCTGTTATTATTTTGTCTTCTCTCATCACAACTTACAGGGTCAGTATGAATTGGAACTGACCTGGTGGCAGTGAGCTGGAGTGGATAATTATCCCATTTCAAACAGATAACAGATTGTGCTCTGGTGGTAAAGAGCAGAGGGAGCTGTACTGCTAACCCAAACAAACAAAACCCAGAACATTTAACTCTTTTTTTGTCTCATACAACTTGAGTTTGGAGATTCTGTCCTACCTGGGTATCTCAAATCTATCATTTAAGCACTTGCCTATTCCAGGTACTTTTTCACAGTACACTCTGTAGTCATCACTGATCCTCTCAATGGCCATCTTTGGGTTTCTGTAGCACAGTTCCTCAAAGGTCATTTTTGTTACATCTGTCAAGTATGGAAACACAGGAATAGAGTTTAGTTGCCCACTCTAGACTCAAAGATTCATGTGCTCTTGTTGGAGATTCTGTCTTCAAGATGTTTTTTAAAATATGGCAATGGTGTTCAATGACATGCTTAAATAAGGAATACACATTTTCTAAATTAAAGTAAAGGAGTCCTGCATCACAGTGGCTAAAACTTGGATGCTGACCAAAAAGTTGGGAGTTGAAACTCATCAGATGTCTAGGGCAGTAGAGTCTTATTCTAAACCACTCCTCTCCTCATTCTAGGATGGACTAGTATGCTATGTGTGGGGATGGCTGTTAAAAATGTATTGTAGGGATAGTGGTTAAAAATAGAAATGCCGGGGGAGCTCTGGTGGCCTAGTGGCAAGGAGCTGCAAGTACAATCCCAGAGGCGCACGGTTCAAATCCACCAGATGCTCTGCCGGAGAAGGAGGGACAATTTCCTTCTGTACCAGTCAGATCTGATTTGACGGTATACTCACACAAAAATAATAAAATAAAAAAATTAAAAAAAAATAGAAATGCCTTGGACCTGATTCTGACATTAGGTGTTGTGAGGAGAAGATGCTTCTCATATGCACAGAACGGAGTATTCGGCTTAACAACAGTAATGCTTTTTAGTGGCATGAGTCTGATTAAGCTGAAGTGTTATATCTCCCTTGAGGGCCAGCAGGGGACTCTGCTGTTTACTGTCAACCTCTGGAAAGTCATTTATCCTCCTTGTCTTTCTTTCATTCCTATTAGTTACCATTGAGTTGATTTTGAATCCTAGAGACACCACAAGTGCAGAGCAGAACTGTTCCACAGGGTTTTCAAGACTGTGACCATTTTAGGAGCAGATCTCCAAGCTTGTTCTGTAAGGTAGCCCCTATGTAGATTTAACATGCCAGTATTTTGGTTTAATGGTTGCTAATTGTCATTGAGTTAACCATGACTCATGGCAGCTCTATAAACCTTGCTCTATCCAGCACAGCAAAATTCTCATGATCTCTGCCATACTCATGCCCATAGTTGCAGCTACAGTGCCAATTTGTCATCTTGAGGGCCTTCTTCCCTGTCACCAACCCTCTGTCTTTCCCTGTGTGCTGTCTTCCCCAGGCATTGACTTCCCCTAGCAACATACCATAAGGGAGCTCTGATGGCTTAATGTCAAGGAATTGTGCTGCCAACGCTAAAGTACATGGTTCGAGTTCACCAGTTGCTCTGCAGAAGAAAGATGGACAATCTCCTCCATGTGATTAATTGCCTCTGAAAACTTGCTGGAAGATCAGCTATGGCTTGGTTCCAACTAGGCAGTATTCAACAACAAGATGCCCAAAGTATATGAGATGAAGTTTCATTATCCTTGCCTCTAATGCACCTTGGCTTAGTAATCAAACACTTAACTATTTGTATCACCTCAAGATTCTGCACTTCAATTATTGAGCTCTAAAACCAGGTAGGGGTTAGGGAAGAAAAGGTATAACAATGAATTAATGAAAAAATCCAACTTTTCTGTAACCTTTCATTAAAATCACAATTAAAAAAATGAGTAGAGTAGTAGAAACCAACTTGATAGTATCTAACAACAAGAGTGCTTATATCACAGATTAAAGATCAAATGATGTAACCCTTGCATTGCACCATGCTTAAATACAGCTAATAATTATTAAATTTATATTAATAGATTTCAGTTGCTTATATACAAGGTGCTGTACACTGTGCTGCATTCTGGAGATGTGCTTTTGCAAAACTTCTGTCTCTTTTGGTTTTTCCTTGCAAATGTATTTTTGGGTCCCTAAGCATTATTTCTCCTCCTTCACTGACTATCCACTTTGCCAAGCATGATGTAATTCTGCAAGGACTGGCCCCTCCTAACACAATGTCAAAAGTGGTGTATCAAAGATGATAAGGATGGCACAAGATGGGACACGGTTCAGATCTGACGTTCATAGGATTGCTGTGAGTTGTACTCAGCTCAGCAGCACCTAACAACAGCAGCACATTTTTGTTCGAATCTACCAGCTGCTCCATGGGAGAAAGATGACCAGTCTCCTCTCATGCATCTTACAGCCTCTGGAAACCTGCTGGAGGATCAGTTGTGAGTTAGTTCTGACTCGACTGTAAGAACATGGTGTTTTAGTTGAGAATTCTCATTCTCATCATGATTCCACGTTTATACAAATAGTGCATTTCCAGGCACCTTCAATTATATACACTTAGTACAGGGTTCTGGAAGGTAGTACATAATACAAGGGGCCTATGTGTCCTACTTAACAGTTACCCAGGGTGGACAGTGTGTGGTGGAGCTCCCACTTAAGACAGGTTTGGAAGGAGGAGTGGCATCCACTTCCTAAACCACATGCCTTTGGAAACTCTATGAACTTTGAAAAAAGACAATAGTTATAAAAAGTCTTTTGTTCAAAGGGTCGCTATGAGTCGTGCTCAACTCGATGGCAGTCAACAACAACAATGGCAATATGTAAACTAAAAGAAAAAATATTACAGAACTTTCCCTTACCTTTCAGAAACACTGGAGATGTCACTTCTACCTGGAGAGAGCCTCCTTGTCGTAGGTCCTCACTCGCTATCTTTTGCCACTGCAAAGAGTCCATTTCCTCCATATTAGCCAAACCCTGGCTTAACTCCAGAGATTCCTGAACCCTCTTACACAAACGAATGCTCTCTTCTCTGCTTGAGGTTTCTTCTTTATTTTTATGCCACTTAATATTGGTTAACCTATTTTGAGTCTAAGAGAAGGAGGTGAGACAAAAGATGAACATTATTTGGTGCAGAAACTAGAACAGAATGAAGTTTTTGCAATAGCCTTGCCCTTCCATAAGGAGTTCTAATGACACAATGCATAATGTAACTGGTGGCAAAATGAAAGGTTAGCGGTTGTAATCTATCAGCTGCTCCATGAAAGAAAGATAACTTCTTGCAAAGCTCTAAGCCTTGGAAAGTCAGTATCAGTAGGAACCAAATGGCAGTGGGTTTGGGTGGGAACATTTCCGTGCTTCCATATGATAAAGACTTATATTGATTTCAACTTAGTAAAAACCATTGCTCTTTTCTATATTGTTATGGATAGAATTATAGCCCCCAAAAACATGTGTTGTAAATTCTAACTTCTTTGCCTATGGTTATAATCCCATTTATAATGAGATCGTCTACATTAAATTTATGAGGCAAGATTAGTGTATGATGTAGTTTTGTTATTCAAATATATTCACCAACAACCAGAGCCAAAAAGGAGGAAGTAGATGATTTCCACCAACTTTTGCAGTCAGAAATTGATCGAACATGCAACCAAGATGCACTAATAATAATGGGTAACTGGAATGCAAAAGTTGGGAACCAGGATGAAAGATAAATATGCACTTGGTGACAAATGAGGCTGGAGATAGAATGATAGAATTCAGCACAATAAATGATTTGTTCACTGAAAACATACCTTTCATAAGAAATATAAATGCAGGCTATACACATGTATTTCACCTGATGGTATATACAAGTCAGATGATTACATCTGTGGAAGGGATAATGACTGGAGAAGTTCAGTATCAGTAGGGAAAACTAGGACAAGTATACTAATTGTAGAATAGACTTGAACATTTCCAAGTTCAAGTTAAAGAGGTCAAATGGAATCCACAGGAATAAAAATTTCATCTTAAGTCTATCCCACCTGAATTTTTTTCTTATACATCTTTTTTTATTGAGACTTTAATGAAAGTTTATAAAGAATATGGATTTCCATTCATTAATTGTTGCACTTTTTCTTCCCTGCCCACCTCTCCCACCCAGTTCACTTTTCTCCTTAGGGAAAAAAAAGGCTTTTTTTGTTATACAATTCCTCTCCCCTTTACTATGCAGCTCTTCTAGTGGATAGATACCATACCATGCAAATAATACCGAATCATATATTCCACTTAAGCAGTTCTCTCCCTCATCTGTTTCAATGCAGGGTACACTGTTTATCCCCTCTTTTCTTAGGTTCACCCCAACCTCGATATCAGTCCTGTTTTATAACAATTATGCAGTATTCGCCCTATTGTGACTGAGATATTTCATTCAGCATAATGTCCTCCATGGTCACCCATTTTTGTATAATATTTCATGAGTACTTTGTGTATAATATTTCATGAGTACCCTGTTTTTCAATGCAGCATAGTACTCCAGTATGCGAATATATCAGAGTTTCACTATCCATTTGTTTATTGATGAATACTCGGATTGTTTCCATCTCTTTGCTATTATGAACAATGCAGCAATAAACATGCATGTTCATATATCTGCTTGGGCAGCAGTTCTAGTCTATTTAGGGTATATTACCAGTAGTGGAACTGCGGGATCAAAATGTATTTCTATTTCCAACTTTTTT